CAATGCTGTTGTAATGAAATGCCTCTTCAAATTATATGGTTATTAAATAAATAATTAAAAAATTATTCAAAAAGATAGAAACAGAGGGAAAATTACCCCAATTCCTTCTATGAAGCCAGCATCACTTTAATACCATAACCAGGTAAAGACACAACCAAAAAAGAAAACTATAGACCCATATCCTTAATGAACAATGATGCAAAAATTCTCAACAAAATACTTGCAAACCACATACAGACACACATCAAAAAGATCATCCACCATGATCAAGTACGCTTTATTGAAGAGATGCAGGGATGGTTCAATATACATAAGTCAATAAATATCATAAATCATATAAATGAACTCAAAGCCAAAAATCACATGATCATCTCAATAGATGCAGAAAAGGCTTTTGGCAAAATTCAGCATGCATTATAATGACAAAAGTCCTAGAAGGTATTGGACTGGGGGGAACATACCTCAATATAATTAAAGCTATAATCAAACCCACAGCCAACATCATTCTAAATAGAAAAAACCTGGAAACATTTCCATTAATTCAGGAACCAGACAAGAATGTCCACTATCTCCACTCCTTTTTAATACAGTGATGGAAACTCTTGCTAGAGCAGTAAGATAAGAGAAGGAAGTTAAAGGAGTACTAATTGGAAAAGAAGAGGTTAAATTATTCATTTTTGCAGATGATATGATACTATACCTAAGAGATTTCAAAAAATGTCATCTGAAAACTCCTAGAAATGATTTTTACTTTTAGTAAAGTGGCAGATTATAAAATTAATCTAGAAAACACAGTAGCCTTTCTATATACAAATAGCAAACAAACAGAGAAAGAGTATATGGAAACCCTCCCATTCATAATAGACTCCAAAAAAATTTCTAAGAATAAACCTGACCAAAGACATCAAGGATCTCAACAATGAAAGTTTTAAATCTTTAAAGAAAGAGGCTGAAGAAGACATCAGAAGATGGAAGGCAGTCCCATGCTCATGGATTGGAAAAATTAATATTGTGAAAATGACGATCCTACCAAAAGCCTTTTTGAGATTCAGTGCAATGCTGATCATAATCCCCATGACATTCTTCACAGAATTAGAAAAAAAATCCTAAAATTCATATGGAAGCTCAAAAGATCCTGGATAGCCAAAGCAACCCTGTGCACAAAGACAATGCTAGGTGTATTACTATACCAGATTTCAAACTATATTAAAGAGCATGGTACTGGCACAAAAATAGACATATAGATCAATGGAACATAATTAAAGCCCCAAACATGAATACACTCAATTTCAGCCACCAGATATTTGACAAAGGTGACAAGAACACACAATGGAGGAAAGACAGCATCTTCAACAAAAATGGTGCTGGCAAAACTGGATCTCTACCTGTAGAAGAATGAAACTAGATCCTTATCTTTCATCTTGCACAAAAGTCAGTTCAAAGTAGATCAAAGACCTCAATGTGAAACCTGAAACTCTGAAACTTTTAGAAGAAAACATTGGCAGTAACCTACAAGACATAGGTATATGAAAGGACTTTCTAAATCAGACATCAGTTGCTCAGGAATTAAGGTCAACAATCAACAAGTGGGACCTCATTAAATTGAAAAGCTTCTGGACAGCAAAAGAAGCAAGCTAGAAAGTAAATAGAAAACCTACAGAGTGGGAGAGAATCTTTACTGGAAACACATCTGACAGAGATTTAACATCCAGAACATATAAAGAACTCAAAAAACAAAAACAAAAAAATCAAGAAAACAAATAATCCAATTAAAGATGGGCTAAAGATCTGAACAGAGAGTTCTCCAAAGAAGAAATTAAGATGACTAAGAAACATCTTAAAAGTGTTCAACATCCTTAGTAATTAGGGAAATGCAAATTAAAACCACTTAAGATTTCATCTTACCCTCATCAGACTGGCTAAGATCAAGAGAACAAATGATAACAAATGCTGGCAAGGATGTGGATAAAGGGGAACACTCATTCACTGCTGGTGGGATTGCAAACTCATGCAACCCCTTTGGAAAGAGTTTGGAGAACTCTTAAAAATATTAAAAATGATCCTACCTATGACCCAGTTATACTTCCTTGGCATATACCCAAAGAACTCATCCTATTGCAAAGATACTTGTACAACCGTTTGTTGCTCCTGTTTTCACAATAGCTAGGAGATGGAAGCAGCCTTGGTGTTGCTCAACTGACAAGCGGATAATGAAAATATGGTATATTTACACGGAGTTCAGCAGTAAAGAAAGGTGGAATCATGAAATGTGCAGATAAATGGATGGAACTAGAAACGGTTATACTAAGTGAAGTAACACCGACTTAGAAAAGCAAAAGACATGTGTTCTCCCTCATTTGTGGATCCTAACACTAAGTTCTTATAAGTGAGTGCATATCCTGATGTAACTACAGGAGCCAGGAAAATGGAAGCCAGGGAGGTAAAGGGAAAGAAGGAACCCAAGAAAGAAAAACAGTAGGAGACAGGTGTTACTAAAGGAGAAATGTGTAAAATGGGGTAGTTAGATGGGAAAGGGAGAGAGGGAGGGCTATTCAAGGACTATGGGGATAAAGGGGGAAAAGGAACTCAAGAGAGGTTAGACCATTGAAGACAGGAATTATCAAGGGAGAAATGGGGAAAATAGGACCACTTTAAATGGGGAGGGTGGGGAGGGAGGATAACACAGGGAAAGAGAGAAGAGATAATGCCTAACTAGTATAAAAAAACAGAGGGAATCATATTAGTCCAAAAACCTACTGAAAAATTTAACATACAATATCTCTACATGAGTCCATATGTATAGTTGAAGGCTACATAGCAAGAAACAGTGCCAGACAGGAAAAACTTTCCTTTGAGTTGTTGGCCAGGGTCGTCCAAGAGACTCCCAAAATTACACAAGCTATTGCTACAGTCCTTGATTGCCTCCCAGAATTTGAAGGTAAGACTCTATTGCTGAAGATAGGACATACTTCGGACACAGGATTTGGAGCAATGGAGCTGGAACTGACCTGGAATCTACTTCCCCTGAAGGCTAGCTCTCATAGCTTTGGAGAGCACTGTGAAAACTGGTAATGGAGAACATTAATCGACGGTCCAGCTTCAAGGCCAAACACCACATCAGTAACTAGCACAGAAAATGGCATTGGTGCCGTAGTGGCACTTTTATCTTGGGGGTGAGCAACAGCTACCTAATTGGACTTAAAGCCCACTCAATGGGAGGAAACTCTTGTATGGTACTATAAACCTACCCTAATACACATAGCTGGAGAGGTCATTGGTCTTAGAGAAAACCCCAAGGCTGTCACAACCCTAGACAAATGTAATTTCTCATGCAAAATATGGATCCTTAAATTACAGCCAACTATCCCAGTTACCACCCATCAAAGAAGCTTCTTTTTCAACAGACGGAGATTATTACAGAGTTCTACAACTGGTCACACAGAGAAATTGTCTGTGAATGACCCCAGCCTAAGTGGCACATCTACGATGCAACCTCTATACCTAAGGCTCATGGAGAACATAGAACAAGGAATGAATGAGCATTAGTGCATCTTTCAGTTCTCATCAAAGAAGCTCCCTAATGCAACAGAGGGCCAGGAACACAAAAGATCAGAAATGACCAAAATGACTTGTAGAGAATATGGATCTACAGAGTGTGGGTCCTTGGACAGGGCTCCTATATTGAAATCCACCCACCCAGGAGCCATTGGAGAAGAGGGGAACTGAAAGATCGTAAGAGCTAGGGAGTAGGTGCATGACCATACAGAAACAGTCCTACAAGCTCCTGGGACTCATCTCATATGAACTTACAACAACGGTCTCAGCACGCACAAGACCCATGCGAACTCAAGCAGACAAAAACCCAGCACAGAGTTGTAGAAATGGACAGCAGGCTGCAATCTTAGTGGAGGACTTATTAACATCTGATTACTGCTGGGTGAAGAAGAGCTGATCTTAAAGGGAGGGGCTCTAGATAGGCTGACTAGACCTCAGTGGATGATCTTTCACTGAGGGACGTTGGGGACAGTGACTTGACATGATAGGTCATCACACAGATGACAGAATGTATGAATTCCAGTGGAGGTCTTTGAGAAGAGGCTAATGGGAATGGGGTATAAAGATTATTAAGATTTAATAAATTCAATAAAAATTTTTAATGTTTTTATAGAACATTTTTAATTGAATGTTTGTGTATTTCATACAGAACATCTCAATCAATCTTAATAATCTTTTCCCCACCAGCATCCTCCCGTAGTCCCCCCACTGGAGCCCATATACTCTGTCATCCCTGTTAAGGCCCTTTGTGTCAAGTTGGCTGTACCAACTCCTGGGAACCTGCTCATATGATTCTATGGTAATTGTGTCGGCATACACAAGTCCCATGCAAATTCAGGCAGACAAAAATCCAGCACAGAACTGGGAAAATGAACAGCAGACCCCAATCTTATCTGAAGAAATATTGGCAACTGATTGTTGCTAGATGAAGAAGAAGTGATCTTCTTGAAACAAGGGACTCTAGAAAGGCTGACTAGACCTCAATGGATGGACTTTCACTGGGGAACGTCAATAAAAATTTTTAAATAGGGATAATTTTGTTTAGTAGTAAAACCAAATCATTGGATAATCCTTTAGTCAATACAAATACTCTAAATATAAGACATCAGAAGATTGTTATCTATGGTTTTGGCCAATTTTTATTTCTGTTTGTGTTTATGCTCTTACAGGAATGCTGTAGAAAACATTCTCAAGAGATACACTCAGTTGTCACAGTGGCTTTTCCAAGCAATGGCATTGGGGTTGGGTGAGACCTCCTACATTTACCCCATAGAGTTCTGTATTGGAATTTTTACAGCACGCCTGAGCAATGTTTTTGCAAAATAACCAGTCAATAAATTGGCATTAGCTGTAATAAATTGTGCTTCTATTCCAGTTCCACAGCCTCCTAGACTAGAACCCCAGGAACCGAGCTCTGCTACCAGTACGACAATTGCAGTGTATTGGAGCATGAACAAGGAGGATGTCGTCGACTCATTCCAGGTGTACTGCATGGAGGAGCCTCAAGATGACCAAGAAGTAAATGGTAGGATTGCTATACAGTTACAGATGCAAGTGTATATTCTGCATCTTAATGTGACATACTTAAATGTGTGCACATTATGTATACATATAAATATATACACATAGTAAAATATGCATATATTTTCATAAAGCATTTATAACCACTTACAAAACAATAATGACAACAAAAACCTCTCAACAACTACATAATGAAATAATTTCAGAAAAGAATAATTTAGAAATTGGGATCAGGAAAAACAAAAGCATATAAATATCATCATAATGGTCAATGTGAGTATTGCCATTGAGATTCAGATTTGACTTTGAGCTCTCAGAGTAATTGGAACTAAGTGATTCTCAGTTTCATAAAGGACGAATCATTTCAGAGTTTCAGAGAGAAAGTTTTAACCAATATGGGAGTTGGAAAGACAGTGTGGAGGAGAATAAGTCATATGCAGGTCAGCATTCTCCATAATAACACATCGGATATCAGTGGTTTTCAGATTCAGAGGTGTCTAAAAGGTTAAATTGATGTTCATAATTCTCAAGGCATGGGTCTAGGTATGGTGCAGTCATCCAGTGTCTCAAAGGTAGATGGAAGTGAACATGCTTGATGTGGTAAACCTATGGCAGGCCTTTCAAGTTGAGGTTCTGTAAAGATCTCTCTGCTCAGCAGAACTTCTGATAAGACCCAGGAACCAGACAGCTTGAGATTGTACTTCCTGATGAGTCAGTGCTGGAAGTGCTACTGTTCTGTGTTTCTGGTTTAAGACAGGCCCACATATTTTGTAAATTAGATGAGCATGTGGTAGATTTGCCATCCTATTTCAAATTGTAGGAGCCCAATTTATAATGAGGAAAGAACTGTAACATATTTCACTGTTACTAAGACTTAAACATCTTTTTAAAAATTAATAATTTTTTAAAAGACAGAGTCTCATATATCCCAGACTTCCCTCAAACTCAGTATGTAGCTGAGAATGACCTTGAACTTCAGATCCTCTACCTCCCAAATCTGGGATTATAGGTGTGTAGTATCACATCTGGTTTATATGGTAATGTGGAGCAAATTCAGGGCTTGTACATGCTAGGCAATTCTACCAATTGAGCTATATCCCCATCTCTAAGACTCAAATCATTTGAAATATGATAATCTAGAAAAAAGTTTCATAAAGGCATATTAGTTACTTTTCTGTTTCTGTGATAAAATACCATGACCAAGGCAATTTATAGAAGGAGAAGGGTTTCTTTTTGGCTTACAGTTTCAGAGGGATAAGAGCCTGTCATTAGCAGGGAGACATGGTGGCAGAAGCAGCCAGAGAGGAAAACTGAGCACTCACATCTTCAAGCAGGCACCAGAAGCAGAGAGAAGCAAACTCAAAGTGGGGCAAGGCTACAAACTCTGAAAGCCCATCTCCAGTGATGTGCTTTCTCCAGTATAGCCACACCTTCCTAAAGGTTCCATGACCCTCCCCAAACAGCATCACCAGTTGGTCAAGTGTTCCAGTACTTGGAGCCTATGGGGGACACTTTTCATTCAAACCATCACAAAAGGCAACTGTATAAATTTGGTTCAATCCATCTATAAAGATAAATACCTTATTGAGGCTCTGTCACCCTATACCTATGACTACACATCAAAATAAGTTCATTTACAAATGTGAAAACTGATGTAGGGTTAAATAATTTGCTTACGGCCACATTAACTTATTCATGACAGGGTCAAGATTCAAGCAGATCTTTCATTGATAAAAGTTTATGTCCTTGTCTCTATGTTTTGTTACATCACATTTTGTCTCCTTTATAGCCAACTGTATCATGAAACGCCATGGCTCTTCAAAACCTTTCTTAAGTAGTAGTTACTACCTGGAGTTCTTTTCCAATGTCCTCATGCCTACTCCATCTTTCACCCAAACATTTCCTGTCCTGTGTCTCATTGGTTCTGTGCTTTGAGTTGTGCTGATGACAGCTTACTGTCTGATGATCTACACTGTGGTACCACTACGTATAAGGTCTCCAGAAACATGTGTCATGTGCATTGTTAAAAGGAATGCCTAAAGGAAGGATTCCAGTGAAAGCTGCAGTTACGGTTTCTGGGCTACAGGGAAAATGATTTACAGTGTGTTAGTCTTTGTGATATTCTTCAAGCTGAACGATTGTCCTGAACTGTAGCTTACTGGAAAAGAAAGAGGCAAAAGTTAGGAAACCCAGATTGTTTCCTAACTGAAGGAACTTTGAGGCGAGGACATTCAGGAATGATACAGGAAGATAACCAAAATGATCATATGCTAACTTTAGAAAGGAAATCATTCTTTTTAAGCAAGAGAATATTTTAGCTAGACTAATCAGATTGGGGTGGGAGAGATGGCTTAGCAGTTAAGAGCACTTGCTGCTCTTACAGAGAACCAGGTTCAGTTTCTAGCACCCACATGGAAGCTAATAACTGTAACTCCAACAAAACGTTCATACATATAAAAATAAATAAACCTTTAAAAAAGAGTAATAAGCAGGGCTGGGTGTGGTGACACATACCTTTGGGGAGGCAGAGGCAGGCAGATCTCTGTGAGATCAAGGTAAGAGATCTATCTGCATAGTGAGTTCTAGGCTGCCTGGGGCTATAGAGAGCCTCCATCTCAAAAAGAAGGTGGAGGAGGAGGAGAGAGAGGAAGAGGAGGAGGAGTAGAAGGAAGAGGGGATTGTTACTAAGTGGAAGGTGTTAGGGGGTGTGGTAGGCAGTTCATACCTATAATCCCAACACACCAGAGGCTGAGGCAGGAAAATTGTTGTATATTCCAGACCAGTCTTGGTTATAGAGTAAGACCCTGTCTCAAAAACCCAAAAGCCAAAACCAAATAAACAAAAATCCAAAGGGATGGCATTCATAACAGTATTTAGCAATGTTCACTACAAAAATATTAAAGATAAAATCATTTAAGAAAATTTAAAAGGAAAATGTCTTGACTAAACTACGTTACTTTTTAGAAGAACTTCTAGCCTACCAAATCTTAGTATTTCTATATACAGTGAAAATATATAGTTGAAAAGATTCTGAAATTCATGAGAAATCAGTGTCAAGATCTGAAACTTGAAAAATTATACTGAATACCAAAATTGTTTATGCTTTATAACATCTAAAATTAAAAACCCATGGTTGTCCTTTTTAACGATGTACTTTTATGAAATGCTGGCACTGGTTCTTAAGAATTTTCTTGAGACTATATTACTAAGATTTAAGTTACTATAAACTCTATGCAAGTTTATTATTTGCTATTGAAATGTTACTTTAATTGTGGTATATAAATCTCAGATATACAGTAACATGCTATTATTTTGTGATAAGTGTTCACCAGTAATACTATGTCATTCTAAATATCACTTTTCAGGCCACTATTGCTTTCTTATGTAGTCTAAAAAGCTAATTATCGGATAACGATGTTTGTAAAGTCATCAGTTTAGGTTTTCTGAAGGAATCATAGCCTACTTCTTATAATAACTGTAATTTCTAGTTTACTCTAGAATCTACCTTTGCATTGATGATTGTGTTTCATGCTAGAGTTGATAGAAGAATACAGATTGACAGTGAAAGAAAGCTGCTGCATTTTTGAAGACTTAGAACCTGACCGATGTTATCAAGTGTGGGTGATGGCAGTGAACTTCACTGGATGTAGCCTTCCCAGTGAAAGGGCAATTTTTAGAACAGGTAAGTGCATGCTAAGAACATACTATGAAGTAATATGCAATTCACAGACTCTTGAGAACAACCAATGAATGCTTTGGAAGCATCATTATGTACTGGATGTTGGGAAAAGTGCTGGGTGTAAAATGGTGGGGATTAGGATGGACCTCAGTGGTTGAGTGCAGGCATGTGGACTTAGGTGCTTTCCCTAGAATTGCAGCAATAGCAGCAACAGCTAAAACAACAATGACAACAACAAGATTTAATTTCTATTTATAAGATGCTCAGAATTAAGTGGAGGAGTTAGGAAAACAGGAAATTATTGGGAATGTCTGGTAATGGTCTAGATATATACAGGTTATTATAAGAATACTCTAGAGAGGTGCCAAGGCAGACAGGGGAAGGGCAGGATCAGAAACAGCTTCCTAGAGCTGACGCCTGCACTAAATGCTTTAAAGAATCTATGGGAAATAATGTGCTATTGGAGCAGATTCTTCTTGAAGAAAACGTATGAGTAGTCATAAAGTACACATATAGGGTAGAGAGCACTATAAGAACTTTATTATTCATGGGGCTGGAGAGATGACTCAGTGGTTAAGAGCACTGGTTGGTCTTGCAGAGGACCCAGGTTTAGTTCCCACCACCCACATGGCAGCTAACAAACGTCTGTACTCCAGTTCCAGAAAATTCAACGTCCTCTTCTGACCTCTGTGGGCATTATGACATGAGTGCATTTAGATACATGAAGCAATGCACTCATACACATAAGATAAAAAATAAATAAAAAAAATTTTTTTGGTCTTTCTGAGATAGGGTCTCCCTGTAGCCCAGCTGGCCTGGAACTCACTGTGTAGACCAGGCTGGCCTTGAACTCAGAGATCCACCTGCCTCTGCCTCCCAAGTGAATATTTTTTAGGATAAGGAAAACATTAGGTAAAAATGGCTAGCAAAGAGCAAATGTTTGCAAGTTAAGAAGATTGGGTTTCATCATAAAGATGCTAGAAAATGCAAATGTTTCAAGCTATGGTGTTCAACGAGAAATACACTATCATGATAGAGTTTTTTCATAAGCAGGAGGTGGAGTTTCACCAAAGCTATGTGGCCTTTTAGATAACTGCAGCTGCCTTGTAGAGGAGATGGGTTACTCCCACCCGTTATTCCTTTAGCTTTGCTTCTTGCCTTTACTTATTAATTCATTTCTTTTTTGAGCCAGGGTTTCTTGTAGCCCCAGCTAGCCTAGAACTCACTATGTAGACCAGGGTGGGCTTGAACTCACATAGATCCACCTGCCTGTGCCTCCCAAGTGCTGGGGTTTAAGGTGTATGCCACCATACCTGCGTTCTTCTTGCCCTTAAAAACAAGTATTTGCAGATCTCTGAGTTCAAGGCCAGCCTGGTCTACATAGTGAGTTCCAGGCCAGCTGGGGCTACAGGAGACCCTGCCTCAAAAAAACAAAAGAAAAACAAAAAACAAAACAAAAAAGCCAAGTATTTGGCTGGACATAATGGTGCACACATGTAATCCCAGTACTTTGGAGGTGGAGTCAGGATGTTAAGGAGTTTCAGATGCACAGCAAGTTGCAGGCCAACCTGGGCTGCATGATACCCTGTCTCAAAAACCTAAGACAAATGAGCAAACAAGAAAACAGGCAACCCCCTTCCCCCAAATGCTTCCCGAAAATCTACCCGAGACAAGACCAGTTTACTTTTGTAAAGGGGCAGAAATCTTTATTTTTGTTTGCTTAGGTAGTAGCTGTTTAAAGAAACCAGAGTGGGATTTATAGGAAGCTGTTGATAGAGACTGGTCTGGGATGGGTGAGAAGCTGGTAATATGGAAGGAAGAGAAAGGAGGGAGACCTTTAATTATATAAATATTTATCTCTTTTGGGCTTTCAGTTTAGAATGAATTTTTGATTTTTTAAAAAAGTAAAATCATATCTAATCATTCTTCATAGAGCTGTCATTGCTCCACGACCAACTTCTTTCTCTCTCTCCAGCACCTTCAACCCCTGTGATTCGTGCCGAGGACTGTACTGTGTGTTGGAATACAGCTACCGTCCGATGGCGGCCTGCCAACCCAGAGGCCACAGAGACCTATACTCTGGAGTACTGCAGGCAGAACTCTCCTGAGGGTGAAGGCCTTAGGTAAGGATCCTTTTCCATGGCAAGACTGCCAGGAGCCCAGGAACCATGCTCTTGGCACCAAGCTAACTGAACTTATGCTTACCTAGCAAGAAAAGCATCTTTAAATCCTGCTGAGCCAATTAAGCTGTTGACTTGATTTGTAGCTCTATCAGTATTCATCAATGAACTCCACTTTTGTAATAAAACACATGCTACAATACAGAATAATAATTCCCTTGTAAGAAAAATGTATGCGAATTTTAATAAGATAGAACATTCTTTGAGGTATATTTAACTTGAGTCATTAGTCAGGATTTATGCATATTTTACGCACTTTTTACTAGCTCTATCAGAATAGGTACCACCTAACTCAGGAAACTAATAGCAAGCTTGTATATAATGTAAATCAGACTGTCTTGGTGATATATTGGTAACATAAAGGAGCTAATTACACATATATTATCACAGAGACATACCTGTCTCTCCAAGAACATGAAGAATATAGAGATTCTTCTAGTGAAAAAGAACTGTGAGGCTCTCTCAGTAAAATGATGAAGCTAAAATTTATCAATAAAGGACCACACATCCTCTAGGCACTCAGTAAATATTAGATCATCTATGAGGTGGTTCCTTAACCTCCGAAGTCAGCCCACTAGCTGATATTCCTATTTTCATAGGAGGTATTTCTAGTTTTTCTTTTTATCCAAGTTTACAGAGATAAACGATTTTGGCTGGATATGGCAATTAGGAGCAATAGTATGAAATTAAACAATGTTTTAATAAAGTATATTTAAGCTCTTGATTAGCATCATTATCAATCAACTATTTAGTTATGATTTGAGGTTTCATATGACTGAACAATAATTATAGTTTCTTTCAAGTTGAAGACAAACTTCAGTAGATAGATCAGAGGATGAACTGGGGTTGGGTGTGTTTGGGGCGCTGGGGCAGGGATGAAGGCACTTCTACAGAAGTGAGAATGTGCTAAATACAAGAAGCAGCCTGTCTGCTCGTGCTCAGGTGCTAACTGCTCGAAAGCACACCTCAGGAACTGTTATTATATTGTAGAGTATAGTATTCATATTGTTTGGTGGGTTGATATGCAAAGCCATCAACCTGCGTCCATCTCAGAGAGCTCAGGTAGCACGCTGTGATCTCAGTGTGTTTACAAGATGATCTGATAGAGCGCTGCTCTGAAAGCCAGAAACCTGATTTTCTTACCGGCTTACCCTTGATTCTACCTATTGGTTACTTATCCCAAGTTGGTTAACCCTTTGAGCAAACCTTACACACTTCATCTATCTCAGCAGGCTTTAATTTACCAACTCTTGAGATCAACCAGTGCCAGGTAGAGTAGAGGCCTGGCCTGCTACCTTTTAGGGTTGTGAGGATCTCATGAAATTAGGGGCAGGGAAGAACTGTGACATTGGAATGTGCCACCCAAATGCACGGCTTTAAAGGAAACCTGCCTGCAGTGCATGTGCCTGCAAATTCCCAGGAAAGGCCCATAGGAACCAGTTAACCCTTGAGAGGTAAACTCTGGCCAGCACAGAAAGAGAGTAAGGGACTACTGAGTATTTCCTCCATGACTTCACTGGTCTTCATGCTTCAGGTATGTGGCTTCAGGTTATCCTCACAAGAACTACAAGAAGTTCCTCAGCTAGTGGATGGCAATCAGGATTCAACTTCCATTTTGTAAGATTTCAAGGTTCAAACTAACTTAGGGGAGACTGGGACCCTCTCTGCAAAGTCCTTAATGCTATGAGAATACCATTTCAGGTGTGCCTGAGTCTCAGGGAAGTCTCCCTTCATCCTTGAGGAAAACCACTTCTCAGGCAAGATCAGACTGTTCAGCAGTGCTCTGAAATGACTCATTTGTTATTACATCCATCCCCAGCTGACATTTTCATAAATCATATTGGCACAGTCGGATACTTAAATCAGCAGAAATCTGAAAACCGTGAGACCCAGTAGCCATCCCCTCCAGGGAACTGTGTTGTCATCTCATAAGTGTAATTAAAGGGAGAAGGGAAAGAGGAGAAGAGAGGGAAAATGGCATGCACGGAGGGCTGTTGCCACTCTGGGAATGGTGCTTGCTCTCATTTAACCCTCTCAATGATCCTGTGAGGTAGGCAGTGATCTCCATTAAATCAGACCCTATGAGCTTACATGACTTGGCAATGTGTTAAATTATGCAGCAACAGTTTGGGGTTAGATTTTTAACCCAGGTGTGTTTTATTCTTTCCACTAGTTTTAAAATCCTTATGGAGTTAAAATAATCAGCAGCTACTATCTGGGAGTTAGTGTGTTATTTTTAATTTTTTACTTAATTTTTATTTTATGTGTACGAGTGTATTGCCTGCATGTATGTGGGTGCACCCGTGTTGTGCAATGCCGCGGAGGTCAGAAGAAGGCTTCAGATTCCCCTGGAACTGGAGTTAATTTTAATTTCCTTTGTTACATGAAAACATGTATGAAAAGAAAATGCACCACTATCCACATCTCCTTTGATTTATGTTTTTGCTTTGCCTGATCATCACAGGGCTCTCAAAACTGTAAAAGGGGTCTATTTGCTAGCAATAATGATTTCAAACACATCTTTCTATCAGAGCCAAAGAAACCAACGACAGTTCCATTTTTAGGGAAGACAATGGCCATCTACTAATTTTGTCAAAGCCAAAGTAAGTCATTGATGCACAGAACAAGTCACTGGCTTGTTTTAAGTGAGACTTCGCTAGCGCGTTCACTTTTCTTTTGTTGTAAAAAACGTATGAAGGGTTTGCTAAGCAGATATTTACAGTAGTGTTAGAACTATACAAAGTTCCTTTGTTACATGGTGGATCTAGTCAGAGTTTAAATGAGAAGAGTATTTCTACTTGGAGAACACTGTGGACAGTCTGGAGCTATGTTGGAGATGGAACTGGTTTCCCGTTAGGTTCTCAAATGCCCTCGGTGCTAGGAAGCACATGATATGTCCAATTCACTGCTCAGGGCTGACTTTCCAACTCTGGATTCCTGCTGAGTCTGACAGTAGATACTGTTCTGAAGCAAGCAGAATTTTCTTGGACCACCCCTTCCTACCCTGTTTATCTGTCAGTTCTATTACTGACCCATCACCTCAGAGTCATCCCTCATCCATAGAAGCCTCAGTGTCTTATGCCCTAGGCTGGCCTCAATAGACTGTGAAGTAACTCATTCTTAATTTCAGAGACCCAGGATAGCAAATCCAATTGTACCTTTTGGTTCTTTGAGAGTTCAAGAGGGAAGAGAAATTCTGCTCTTTGGAAGTAGCCATGTATCTCAGGTCTTCCAATCAAACATCCCTTCAGGGTCTGATGTTCTGAAACTATGAAATAATGCTTATCTCTAATCTGTATAACTCAATTTGTATGACGTTAGCTATGGAGAACTAGTCAGATGGTACAATCAATAAATAAAGAACCATGAAAATTTTAAATCATCCCCGATCAAAGAATGGCAACAATTTCTACTTTCTTTCTATAATTAGAACCTCATTCCTCATTTGGCTTCATGCACAGCAGCCAATGGTTAAAATTATGTTGTGTCTTAGAAAGAGCAAGCGAAGAGTTGTCTGATCTCCCTTGTTTGTTGTCTTCTTAAAGGGATGATTATGTAAAATTGTAGCCTCTGTCTGAGAGCACGCCTGGCATATGGTAGTTGCTCAGTGAATGCATGCATTTTCTTTAATGGATAAATATCAATTAGCATCAAACATGTAATACTGACCACAAGAGCAGTTAGATCAGCTTTAAGGATAATTGCGAAACAATAATCTGTGCTAACAAAGTAGAGAAGAATGGTGAATGGGTTCATTTTAGTGTTTGGATACAAAACCAGGAGATTAGACTATTCTAACTTGTGGGCAGAAAACCTTTCTATGGGTCACTTATAGAGAAAATCCTTTTTACCCATTGGTTACATATGTTCTGAGTTCCTTGGAAAACTCTATACTAAACCAGATCCAAAAATGAGTTCAGAGGTTCCTGAAGAAGAGTAAAGGTAGATCAAAGATTACTTCTTTTCTATGTGACTTAGTTTGTCAGAGCCTAGATCATAAAATGAGTGACGATTGGGAACTTATGTAGATAGTCAGCAAACATCTGTTAAATGAATGAATGAACACATGAGTGGATCTCCTTTGGGCCTTGCCCACTTCAAGTCATCTAACTGCTGGAAATCTCTAGCAAAAGAGAAAGGGAACGAGAATTAAATTAAGTTCCATCTTTCCCCCACTTTTAATTCTGGGGCGGGGTGGGGGAGGAGCCTTAAGAGCTCTGAAGTGCTGTAGGAAAAGGAGTTGAAGAAAGGGAGAGAAGAATAATCCCTCCCTCCCTCTCTCTCTCTCATGGAGGGAGGGCATTGTTTATCTTCTAGACAGAGCACTCTAATTTCAAGTGACAGAATGAAATCACATCCATTTAGGGCCTTCCTTCATTCTCCCTGTGTGATGGCCTCTAGATCCAATTTTAGACCAGAGGTGCTGCTTGAACTCTCCAGTGGGTGTCTGAAAGGAATGAGCCTACTGTGTCCCTAAGTTCCATAACAGTGTCTGAAATAGCTGGGCAACTGAGTCTCTTCCATAATTCTTTCCAAAATTTGCATATTTTTGCATGTGGGCACCAAAGCTTGGTCCCAGCAGTCGGCCCCTGCTGGGACTGGGGGTGGGTGGGAGTGACAGTCCTTGGCTTGTGTGTGAGGTGTTTGAGGGAGCTCCTATTCACCCTCTTCCTGTTTTTCTTTGAATGCTCTCCTCAGGTTGGGTGGGCTCAAAACACTTTCAAAGTTTTTCCACCGTTCTGCTGTTTCCTCAGCTGTTCTGTCTCTCCTGTGCAGAGAGAAGTCAGCAGAAGTGTGGGTGGGAGAGGGAAAACTGAGAGAAATATAGTACAGGGATTAGCTGTGTGGGCTGGGCAGAGAAGCTGTGCACTGAATGACAAATCTGTGAGACTCAATACTACACAAAGTAGTCAGGAGTGAGCTTCCTGTCCATTGGCTTATAA